TAAAACTTTGCAATAATAATATGGCATCTTATAACCAAAAATTATTCAAATCCAATAAAAACTGTTCAAGCCCGATACCGAGAATTTCAACCCCGGTTGATTTCGAACTATAGTTGATTTTCATATGTACAATGTATGGCCCTGTTTAACCAATTGGGCAGAGACTACTGTTTGTTTGGAAACTTTTTCTACTTGTGTCTGGTCATGAACATTGTTGAGTAATTAATATTTAATGGCAATCAACAGTTCGTAGTTTTTATTTTGTTTCAGTAAATTAGTTTCCCGTTTGAATATTTTGTATGATATATACATACTATGAATATGCATACATATATACACATATGCCAATGTTTTAAGTATATAATTACATACATATGTATTCATATTTAGAAAGTTAACATAAATCCTGCGTACATAGGTTATGTACGTATGTATGTATGTATTCTTTCAAGGTCTCTTTCAAAAGGCTACGCAGACTAGATCACTTAACATAAAATCCATTAAGTTAACATAAAACCTGCGTACATAGGTTATGCGCATACATACCTACATACATACAAATATGTGTGTGTCCCTTACAAAAAGYTACACAGACTAGCTTACATAACATAAAATTCTTAGCTAAGAAATAGAAAATTAGTATCGTTATTGTGAGAATTATTTATTTCGGCCCAATTAAATGAATAAAAGGCTTGATGTRCGGTGGTTTAGTTCAGAAAATCATAATAATAAAAGTTTTGCACATATCATTAGGAAATCCAACGATTTCTTAATAAATTCTCTTTGCATTCTTCGCCTGACAACACGTAATGAAATACATATGCATGCATCTTAGATGCACTRGTGCCGCTGCTCTATAGTACATATTTATGTACGTATGCATGTGTAGGTTCGTAGGCCGCCCGGTCGTGTGTAAGCTGTTCGGGATAAATATCGTGTAAAAGTTCCCAGATTTTCTTACATTTACCACGTCATTTAAGTTTCAAAATGAATTTTAGTCTATGATTTTCTTCTTTTGAAATAAATTAAATATATGATGGCGAAAACTCGTTGAACGCATACAGACATACACACGCAGATTTATGTAGGTGCAATTGCAGAACGCGCCTTTTGCTTAAAATTTTTGACTTGATGCCAAATTATTGTTGAACAAACAAGTGGCCAGTTTTTGGCAATATTCACACAAAACTTTTACGTAATTTTGCACAGGAAACGGTACAAATACATGGGAGGCAAAAATAAATTACACTTTTTAGCTTAATAATTTCTTTTTTGTCACGCCGACAAAWTCTATGCTTGGTAAATTTAATTTCTTTTAAATTATGAGATAATARACTTTTATTGGAAAATTGAAATGTGTGCAAGTTTCTAAAATCGTCAGAGACTGGGTTCTCACATCAAGCATACAAAATGTATATGGACACATAATTATATCTATGTATATTGTTTCCAAAAATTAAATAATAATTTGTTTATAACACATGAACACAGACTTGAAGTTTTTTACCGMATAACTGTACACCTTAAAAATCGGTTAATTTAATCAGCGCTTAAAGCTCTTCACCTATGCGTGTAACTTCAGCTTCTTCTTACATTTTTTTTTTTACTTTTATATAATAAATATCAGACAGCGGGGAATTTATAAGGTAGTGCTCATAAAATAAATATTATGCTACAAAATGTTCGTCACTTTCTTAGGAAGTGCCGTTATTAAAAGGCGTTGAGACCGTGGACATATTTTAAAACGTTCTTGSAAACCGCATAAACCACTTTTGTAAGGTTACGAAAAGATGAGAACATGCTATTTAGGGCTACTCACGATTTGTTTAGTAACTGAACACTATTGCAGTTATATATCTATGTATGTATATGTACAAGCATATATATATATGTATCTACATACATAGGTAAATTATATACTCCTGATTCGGAACTGCATAATTTTTGTTGATAAAAGATGTTCGCAATTTAAGTCGTTTATTTCAGATAGTGTTGAGGGAAAGTCAGCCACTTTTGCAATTCTGGTATTTCAAAGTTCAACTAAGAGAATGTCCAGAGCCGGCTCTAGGCAAATGAAAATTTTTATATAAACTTGAAAAAAAAATTAGCCAAAATGGCAACAAAAAACAAAACAAAATGGAGTTGGTTTTATGGATGGACTTGTTGTTGGCGTCGTTGGAGGTGTTGCTGGCGCCAGTTTTTCAATTGGCTTCGGTGGACTTGGTGCTGGTGTGGGCGCGACAACGGGTTTTGGTGCCGGTTGCGCTGGTTTTGGAGCAGGCGCCGGTTTAGTTTCTGCAATTTTTGGGTCTACAACTTCAATTGGTTGTGGCTGAGGCGCAGACGGCTGCTTATTCTCTATAGCTTTATTAGCACCATTTATTTTTATATTAGCGAAAAACCAACCAAAGTGTTTTCTAAAACAATAAAAGTGAAAAAAAAGAGAAAACAAAAACGTAATATAAGATAAAGAAAATTAATATTAAATTAAAAAAATAAAATTTAAAATGTTTACATGTAGAAATAACAAAAACATTTAAGTCTAAATGACGCATAATAGAAGATAGAGGAAACTTAGGCGTTTCTAAACAAATTTAAATTTGTTTTAAATGCCTCCTAGTAATTAATAGTGCTTAGTTGTTGGTTATTTCTAATATTTCGAGCGGTACATGTGGAGAAGTGTGCTAATATGCGAATTATCTGTAGCAAATTTTTTCACGAAATTTAAACAAACAACAGCAATGCCATTTTTATTTTAAATAACAAAATGTGCATAAATTACGGAAAATGCATACATACATATGAATGTACTTGGGTACATATAATATTATAATAATAAGAAGAAGCATTCGCAAATAATAGAAAATTTACATTACCGAAAAATAAATAAAAGTAAGCTGCTAATTCCATTAAGCTTGTTGAAATATGCATATTCCTTAAGCGACATACGATCATACATACATACATATATTTGTCCATTGAAATTTAACGAAAAGCTTAAGCGGTTGGTAATTCATAAATCGGTAATTATTCCGCCTTTTGAAAAGCAACGGAAATTAATCGAGTTCTTTCAAGTGCATATAACTCTCTATTATATCTATTATATATGCATACATGCACAAACTTATGTACGTACACATACACACATAAACATATATTTACATACATACATACATATATGCATTTTCGCTTTCAGAAGTCGATTACATAATATAAAAGTGAATGGAAAATGGGCGCAAGCATCTGGCGTAGTCACACCTTTTTCCTGTTGCTTTCACACAAAATTAGTTAAGTACACGAATAAAGGAAACAAAAAATAGGTAGACAAATGTTAGATTAACGAAAAGTACTGTTCGAATGATGTTGTTTTCAGCCTGTTGCAAAAATGCAAAGCTCATTTTGTCACATGATATAGCAAACCGATTCTTTATACAAACCTATAAACATACGTACTTACATATGTATGTATGTACACCTGTGGTACATACCTTTTCACTGCTGGGCAATTAACCACTTGTTAGCGATCTACATATTTCTAAATGCTTTCAGTCTTATTATGGTAAGTATATACTCATGTTCGCAGAAATCTATTGTATGCCATATGCAATGCAAATAAATGTATGTATGTGTCTATGTCCACTTGCTGTGATGATGGACTAGCAATACACAGAATTGCAATCACTCACCATGACAGTTAATCGGACAGATTGTGCCCGCACACGCACATACACACATACGTACATACATAAAAAACAAACAGGAATTGACGATAAACACAGTTTGATATGAATATATCATGTGCCTMGCTATTATGCCGGTTTGATGATTAATAACGAGCACCTGGTAAACACTCAAGCGTTTGCAGTAGCATCAAGCAGTTTCGAGAGTTCGATAACCACGAACAAAATTACGTTTAATAGTTCTACTTATRAGAAACCATAATATGAAGAAACAGGTAATGGTTAAAAATTAAAATACATAGATGTCAAAAATTGAAAGTTAATCCTTGAATAGATCTTGCACCAACTTACCAAAAGAGATGCGAAATTTGAATTGAATACACATCTATAAATGATCAGTGTCACGAGTTGACTTGACACAGCCGTGTCTTTCTGTCCATAGTAGTCCGATCTGAATAATGTGTTCGCTGCTTTATTTTCCATAGAAGAACTTGATTTTGATCAGTATGACAGCTATGTACATTTTATATGCTAAAAAGGTTCGAAATTGGCGGTTCTGACAAACGAGCCGCTTCTTGCCATAAATTAACGTTTAATTTCAGGTCGATCAATAAATGARAAAGTAGTTCGCGAATATACGGACAGATGGACATGGTTAAATCGAGTCAGTTCGTCGCATTGATCATTTATATAYATGTACGTACATATGTACATGAATTTTATAGGGTCCTCTTATTTCTTTTTGGGTATAATAATTATATAAATCTATAAGACAGCGCCATCTCTCGAGTTCGGAATTATATTCAATAGCAGCGRAAATCTGGACTCTTTCCAACCGATTGAACAGCGTTTTGCTGATTGGGTGATACTAGGTACATATATGCGGAGTTCTTTATTCGTTTACACATACATATACATACATACAAGCGCATTGAGCGCTTGTTGACTATAACAAATTAGCACAGTAACAAAATTTGTTTAAAATTAGTTTTGTAATCATTTGTCATTAAYAAAAGTGTTAATTGAATTGCAGATAGCGGCGATGACAAGGGAATAATGAAGGAAAGAGATTTCACGWYAAAAAGGAACTTCTGGAAATTTGAWACAAAATTATTTTTGTTTCCTTTTTTCTTCTGCTTCGTTTCTTTGGCCAAGCAAAGAACCGCGTACGTGACAAGGGTGGTGTACGGGGAATCTTTCCTGCACAGGCCGGGCCTATCTACTCTGCAAATCGGCGATCAGCGTAGGTGGTTGTATACAATCATGTTTGTATGCATGTGTATATTTGTATGTAAGTGCAATCAAAAAATTGCAAACGTTTGCACTTATTTGTGTTTAKCTAGCTTTGTAGATTTAAATACGCAAGAATGTATAAACACACATACATATGTAGCTTTTGCAAAAAATTGTGCCGGTTAAGCCATTGGGGCAAGTTGCATAAAGGTTTAATGATTCTATGGATAACAGTGCAGTTTGTTAGTTTGGATAGTAGGTGTGCTTATGTATGTAACGATTTGCTTCAGCGTAAATATGAAGATTTAAAAAATCTGAAYAATCGGTTGTATGGGAGATATGTAATAAAGTTGTCCGATCTGACCGATTCTGACAAATTATCAATAGAATATCAAAATTCACCTATGTATGTACATACATACATATGTATGTAGGTATTAAATTTCAYTTGCATATCTCGAAGATTGGCGAACAAAATTTTATAATCACTAACAAACTTCACTATAAAAATCGCTTGTTCGAAACCGGTTTCAGACTCATAGTCTTCTAGGCAAAGTTGCTCAGAATGATCCGTGGAACTTTCCGGCATCTTGTAAAAATTTGATTTTGAAGAGCCAGTTTGTATGGCAGCTAGATGTTATAGGAGTCCAACCGGAGCAAGTTCTTCAGACATTGTATTGAAATGGAAAATTTCGTAAATATACATATCTCTTCAAATAAAAAAGTTTCCATACAAGATTTTGATTTTGTTCGTTCAGCTATATATGTATGTACATATATACCATAATAATCCGGTGTCGGCGGTTCCAACAAATGCACAGCTTCTTACGGAGTAAAGGACGTGTAAACAATTTCTGATGACGGGTTTCTTCGGTGTGTTACATGCATAGTTTTATGAGAGGTCGCGAACGATATTGAAAAGATTTTAATTTATTTTGCATCCAGTTCCTTTGAAGTATTATACTACATAACAATATGTGTACATGAAGAGGAGAAAAGTTAATTGGTTAATAGGATAACGGACGAAATTAAAAAAATGTTATGTAATGGCACGAAATCAATGATTTGCCCAGAATTCACATAACGCTCGTATGCGACACGACACAAATCAAGATATGTATATGTATGTATATCAGTTTTCCTACATCTAAATCATCAAGAATTCGAATTTACTTTTGAGTGTCTGTCTGTCCGTTGTCAAGAATCATTGTACTATCTTCCCCTCTCGATTATAAAAGAACCCTCGTACTCTTTTTATTTCACATTAATATATTTTTTACTTTAAAAATTTCGTAATGCGAAAAACCGATGGCAAGAAAATATCTTTTAAAACAAAAACAAAATCGGCTATAACCGCGTTATCGTGGTTTTCACGCCAATAAAATAAAAAATAAATTTCAAATAATTAAGGAAAACAAATTGAAAGAGTATGGCAACACAATGACACATTTAAAGCTGTAAAGCTTATTCACAAAAGCGCAACGTAAACTTTTTCAATGGTGAACAAATGTGCAGCGGAGCGATCACTTAATTAGAACCCGCCTAAAAGTATGCAATTAAAACTCAAACGCTATCAAATCCACTATATATGTATGTATACTATGTATACTACATAAGTATACTATGTTTGTATACTTATGCATAAGCTCGAAAATTGCTATTTTAATTAAATAAAATTCACSCCAAATCATTTCTGAATGCGCAGTACATTTTAATAGACAAAAAAAAAAATTTGTGTCAATTCTTTTTTTGATACAACAAAGTCGGCTTTTCTAAAATATTTCGAGAGTTCAGCTGCTTCGGATTCAAATTTGATGCGTTCTTTAATCTTAGCTTACATATTGACTTCCGTTACTCACCTTATTTCATCGATGGCGAACGATAAATACCATAAAGCGAACATGTTTTCTGAAAGATAGAAATAAATTGTTTAAATGCTAATAACGACAGAGTGAATAAGAATTCAACTTTTCAATATGGCACTTTTTCAGCTATCTATTATCCATTAGATCAGAAGGGTTCTGTAAAGCAATCTTTGGTCGTTAGCAGCTAGAGTTCGGAGACTCAATCCGTAAGTCATTCAAGAAAAATTGTTATGCATATTAGACGCAATTTGTCATTCTCGCGATTAACGCTGAACATTTTAAATATTTATAATGAAATCTGGCACCTGTCATAACAAAAACAAAAAAATGAAATGGAATTCAAGCCCGATTTTTCTAAGTTTTACTAATTTTAGCAGAACTTTGGTCCTCATTGATGGATAATGAGTTCCTCCATTGCCAGCATGACTCTTCCATTGTATGTACAGAAGTGGGGTAGTCATGCGGGCACCTTATATTTGCTCATACTGTGTATTTATAGCTCACGTACGAGTACAGGAAATCTAAAAGATGTGAGCAGTACTAAGTTACCGGTGCGACAGCTTTGCTAACTCAGCCCCAGTCACATGCATATAGTATGTACATATGTATTTATATAAACACATTTCTCTGATCAAATTT